CTTATGCCATTCACTCCAGCAACATAAACCAAACAATTCAGTTCATCGAGCTCATAAAGCTGGCGTCCCGGTGGCCCAGATATTGGAATATTGACCAATGTACTATGGACAAGAGAACGGATGCTAAATGGCCATGAGACAAAGCACCGAATAGGGAGGGCAAACGGGTCACAGCAGCAGCAAATGTGTCACAAGGGGAAACGAAATCGAGAACATGGGGGCATCTAATCGAGACAGAACGATAAAAACACATAGCTCGACCTGTAACATACCTCCTGCCAGGCTGACCATGTCCTCAACGGCCATAAACCGAATAATGTCTTTGAGGGGGCTTGGATGACGCGCTCGGGATCGTAAATTGATATGGTGGCTGAAGTCAACAGCCGTCGGGAGTTCGTTGGTGGATTGGGATTGGGTCATTGTATGTGTGGTGGAGGAGAGATAAGACGATAATGGACAGATGAAAGGAGGGAGCAATAAGCGGTAGGATTTGTATGAAAATTAAGTCGCACATAACGAAGAATATCGTCGAGATTGACGACGCTCGTCCCTTTTCTTATCAGGCGCGGTCCGAGATCCGAAGTGGCGGACAGGCAAGCAGGGAATGTCAGAGCCACAGATAGACGCACCCGATAAATACAGGCTGCTTGCAACTGGCCAGACATCGAAACCACGAGGAGAAGCTCCAGCAACTTCAACCTCCATGGCATCTGGGAAAGCAGACATTGCGTTGGCAGAGAGGTCGCCGGAACCTCCGCCGCTTGGGGATGACAAGCATCCCGGCATGGTTGTCGACCTGGTCCACGCTAGTGAAGCCGAATATACACCGGGCCAGTACCGCCGGCTGGTGCGCAAGGTGGACTGGATCATCCTCCCCTTGATGTGGATTATCTCTGGCACGCAATACGCTGACAAGGCATCAATCTCGACCCAGGCCACATTTGGCCTCGAGCAAGACACCCATCTGGTGGGTCAACAGTACTCCTGGCTGACCTCGATCTTTTACTTGGCTTTCCTGGTCAGCGAGGCCCCCGGTAATTATATATTGCAGCGTGTCAGTGTTGGCCCGACCGTGGCCGTGTCTATGTTCCTGTGGGGTGAGTCTGTCCACATAATATGCTGAGAGAGCTATCCACTGATGATAGCTCGAAGGCATCATCGTGTTGTGCATCGCCTTCGCCACCAACTTTGCGGGTCTAGCAGTGTTGCGATTCCTTGAAGGTGTCACTGAATGCACCACCTACCCAGCCCTTCTGCTGATCACAGCCACATGGTATACCAAGGAAGAACATGCAATGCGCTCGGTCATCTGGGGCAGCGCTAACGCTGGGATGGACGTATTGACTAGCTTGGTTAACTACGGTATTGGCCGCCGCGCTGAGACACACCCAAATGGAATGGCTCCCTGGAAGGGCATCTCCTTCTTTCTAGGGGCGTTGACCATTGTACTTAGCGGCATCGCCTATCTTCTCCTAGGTACACCACACGAGGTACGCTGGCTGTCCCCTGAGGAAAAGCGCATGGCTGCGGCGCGGGTGGTGGCCAGTCAGACTGGCTCAGATGCCCAGAAGCGCACTCTGGATTGGAAGCAGGTGGCGATCACGTTCCGCGACCCTCAGACCTACTTCTTCTTCTTTCTCGTCATTGTCAATTCCATTCCCAATGGAGGCACAACTGCTTTTGGAAACCTCGTGTATGTCTCCTTTGGTTTTACAGCCCTGGAGACCATCGTTAAGGGTAAGATTCCGCAACAGCTGCTATCGATCGCGTGGTTTTTGATCGCTGGTTATATAACATTGAAAAAACGGGATTCCCGCTGTACGTTGTCCCTGTCATCCTTAACTTGCCAAGGCACTAACCCAGGGCTGGCAGTCTATATCATGATTGTTTCGGTGATCCCTGCCTTCTGCGGTATGCTCGCCCTGGCTCTGCTCCCTCACTCCTCGAGCCTGCTGTGGGCGCGCTGGGGCGTGTACTTCATGACCAGTGTGGGCAATCTGGCCGGTCCTTTGATATGGACTCTCTTGCCATCCAACGTGGCAGGGCGGACGAAGAAGTCGGTTACAGGCACTGTGCTATTCATTGCCTACTGTGTAGGAAACTGCGTCGGCGCCCAGGTCTTCCGAGCTAAGGATGCGCCACGATACACTCCCGCGATCGTAGTATGCTCTATTATGTATGGCCTGGAGATAGCTTTGATGATCGCGTGGCGCACCTACTGTAAGCACCTATCGACTCAAAAGCTGTGTCCAATGCTCGAAGCTAAACTCATATCTAGACATTTGGCAGAATAAACGTCGCGCTTCACTGATTGCCGCCATGGCCATAACTGCCCAGGAGTCAGCGCATCAGGGCCGCCTAAATGCAGAGTCAGACATGACAGACTACGATAACATTCACTTTGTTTACAGTCTGTAGTGAGCCAATGTTTGTTTACTATTCGAGACTAATGAATACGCGGTCGTTCGAGTCGGCTTCCTATGTATCAAGATCACTCGTTACTGGAAATAGCTACAATCCGATTTGACGTTGTTTGTATCTTCATCTGGTACTCTAGAATATGAAGAGTGATGTCTCCTATCTTATATTAACGATATGCTAATATTGAATTCGGCCGAAACTGGCCTACAACAAATTGACAACAAAGCTCATCATCATGCTCGCGTCCCTTACGCTCTTCCTCCCATTGGCGCGTTTCGCTGGCATTATTCACGCCCTTTACCATTTGACTACATATAGCGATCCAGATGAAACACTATTGGATGCCACAATTTTCGGTCCTGTTTGTTCGCAGGCCTATCTCTCTAGCGGAGCCGGCAAGGCTCCTGGTTCCAACATCTGGATTTCAGTCAATGCGCCTCCGCCAGGACAACGCTGGCCAGTGGTTTACGGAGGCTGCCTCTTCTAAATAAGCTCGTAATATACTATTAGCATTTCTCTAAGCTTGAACTGATGCCGAGCTCTAATTTGATCGTCTCACACCCATGCCTGAGCTGCCACCTATATGTGAATGCCATATAGAAACCAGCATGCCATCCTCTGTATCATAAAAAGAAGTTAGTGGGTGCATTCATCCGCCACGCCATAACGATCATGTTTTACTATCACCGAGTTACAATGATTCTAGCTATTAATTACAAGCCCTGCTATTTGACCCACCCCGATACTGCCCAAATTGGAGAAGAGAATATCTTCCAGCTAAGCCGGTCACTACGGAGCGCCGAAAGCATTATGTTTATGCAGAAGTAAAGGGATTTGGCGGATAAAGCCGGTGTAAATATCCGTGAGCAGGTATGATAACCCATTCACAGGGTCGAGCCCACATTAGCCCAAGGCGGTCAGGTCAGTCCGAGTGAATGATTTCTCCGTGAGGTTTGGCAAGGCTGCACAGCTGGTTCACCTAGAAGCATGATTGCGCAACAACCTCTCAACGCCTTCATCTCTCGACCATGCAGACAAGTCATTGTTCGACTGGCTTTTATGCTCTTCTGCGGCAGAAGCGTCTTCTTGTCCCACCTTCGCTATGGACGTCGCGCCACCTTGATATACTGGGATGCCAGTTCGAAGAGATACGCTCCTTGCCCAGTTCTGGTGCCGAGTCCCACACATCTAGTTTATCCTCTGTCGACCCCAAATTGAAGGATGACTCAGGTAGTGATGCTGCACGTCTGGCAAGATCTGGTGCTGTTCTTATCAAGCTGTACAGGTTGGTCGACATCCTTGACTATGAAGGTAGCCCTTTGAAAACACGGAAAACGTAAGCAACAATTTACTACTGACCCCACGTACGCAGTGGATTCGATTTACCCGTTCCCTAAGCAGTGGAATAATCAACTTCTATTTCGCCGGTCGAGTTGTCCATCGGCTCGAATGCGCCATTTTCTGGCGCCGTCTTCAAGAAAACCAGTTAGAGCATAGTCCTGCCGACCTCTTAGTCGGATACTTCAATTACAACGATATGGTAGGATACCGCCGGGAATGTGATCGGGAACGGCGAGCTCGGCGCCTGGGACAAACGCCAGTGGTCCATAGGTCAGCCGGCGAAAATCGGCTCCTTACGAGAGATTGGAAGAGTGATCCTTATCTGGTCTGTGTGCTCTTGTCTCTCGGGCAGCTTCAGCGGCGACTGCGCCACCCCAGGCACCAGAATACCTACGCTGTAAGTCGTGAACTCTACTTAGGCCTGTCTTGCCCACTCGAAGGCTAATTCTCATGTCACCAAGTCACATCTCCTGGTAACAAATGCTTCTGACAGCCAATTCATATATCTTTACGAAATGCAGATTCCCAACGAGATCCTCAGGGCCCTTGACACCCCAAATACTGCAAACTGCGTCGAATGGCCACCGATCCGACGCAGTAGGATTCCCTTTCAGCCATATGACACCTTCCGGCGCCGACTCGAAGAAGTGTTGCTGGAAGAGAGATAGAATGACAGTCCCTTTCACCAGGAATCTGGCTTGGGTGCCGCTATCCGTACAGCAATCTACATACTAACGAGCAAATGCGCGGGCGACATGGAACGGGACCACCCTGATGAAAGGACACAATTTGTAACGTTGACTCCACACGCCTGGTATGATACATGCCCAGCTTTTGATGACAATCTTTTTAACGTGCGGAAACAATCCTATCATTTTGCACGTCTACTTTCCCTTTCTCTCTCTTGAAATCGAGCAAGATACTGTCGCCGTAGCCCCAGGGATGTACCGGGCAGCCCGAAATGTAAATTGCTCAATAATAATTCTCTCCATCGTTAGTGAGTCTGGTCTTGTATTGCTTTTGCCTAGACGAGATTGTAAGGGCATGTGGCTTGGTGGAAGGAGAACTAGTTGAGACGTAGCTTATCTAGGAGCCAAACCCAGTCCAGGATCACATTCTTCAACAGCATTTAGTAGGTGCAAATGTAACTCCTATGCTAGGGGTTTTTTTTATTTTTTTTATTTTTTATTTTTTTTTTTTTTTTCAATTGGTTGTTCAGTTTTATTGTTGGGATTTTATCATGTTTTCGGAGTAGTAGGTAGAAACTCAGCCTCGTTGGCGACTAATTCCGGCACCCCGACTAATTTATATATCTCTGGCAGTGTCGCGATACAACCTTCAACCGCAGCTGGCCGGACCTCTCTCTTCAAGTCTGCCAAAACTTGCCTCATGGCTCTCACTGCTGCCCTCAGCGCCTGATTGGCAAAGATAATGACACGAAAACCTGCGTCCGCGAGCTCTTCTGCGGAGGTCATACCGTAGGTCGTTGGGACGGCAATAAGGGGACAATGCTGTGTCTGACCATCGGGTTCCTTATCCTGGCCACTGGCGGACCAGCGCTTGGCAAATTCCCGGAGCTCACCAAAATCGGGTCGTTTGGAATGCACCAACAACGCATCCGCCCCGGCATCCCGATACGCCCTGGCCCTGCGCAATGCTTCCTCGATCCCGGCGCCCACAATGAGCGCCTCAGTACGCGCGACCACAACGAAGTCCGGGTCCTTGCGGGTGGCCACAGCTGCTCGGATCTTGCCAACGTGTTCATCAATGGGCACAAGAGCCCGCTGGACTGAGTCGTAGAAGCTGCACCGCTTGGGAAAGATGTTATCCTCGATACACACTCCGGCCAGCCCCGCCCGCTCACAGCGCTGCACGGTGCGTATCACATTGACCGCGTTACCAAAGCCCCCATCCACGTCTGCTAGCATAGGCACCTCAGGCACAGCAGCGGCCATACCTGCCATGGCGTCGATGGTCTCAGTCATACTGAGGATGTTGGCGTCTGGAACGCCTTGCACGGCACTGATCCCAAATCCGCTGGCCCAGATGCCGTCGAAGCCAGCTTCCTGTGTCAGCTTGGCGGACAGGGCATCGTGGGCACCGCCGAGAAGGATGGGAGGACCGTCACGCTGGGCGAGGAGGAGCCGGAGGTGAGAAGCCGGGGATTTGGGGGCTATTTGTGCGCCCATCTTGAACGGATCTCAGTTCTATGGCCAGGCTAATAAGTGGCGAAACGATTGTACATCGTCCAATACTACTGGGTTTTTATAACTACCGATCACAATATAGTGCACGAGAAAATAGGGAAGCAGGCGGGGTTTGAAGGGATCGTGACCCCGCTTCTGTGGGTGGTCCGACCGTGATCTATGCAGACTCTCGTGAATCATTTATCTGTCAGCCCCAGCAGACATTTGGCTCCTTCGGGGTTCTTCGGACTGAGATCGGGTGGTTCGTTGCGTCTGGAAATGAAAAGCAGGGCAATTCGTGCCGTCTCATTGAGTGCATCTATAGCTAGACTGACGATACCATCCTGAAACCTAGCCCCTTGTGTGCGTGGACATCGCGCTTTGACACTTATTTACCCAACATTGAGTGTCGACAATTCTCCACCTTTCTCTCCTCATCTGGAATGTCACACAAGACCACCCACAATCTTATTGCTAGTTATGGATCTCTTCCCACGGGGTCCGGCGTTTCAACGTGGCCTTTATGGCCATGCATCGTCCTACTTACACAAACTGCAACCGGCCTCTACCTTCTCCCGCATGGTCGGGCTGCATTTCCGGTGCTTGAGCAAACTTGCTTGCGCCTGGCGTTGGCAGACAGCCCAAATCCGTTGTGCCGTCTTGACCTTTGTTGCCGTGAACAATGCCTGGAGAACAAAGAGCCCTTGAAGAGCCACCGGTGGGAGACCTGTGCTAATGGTAGTGATCAGATACACCACCATCCCGGCCTCCAGAATCATTAAAAATGTATACCCAATCAAACCAGCAAGGAAGATCCCGTATAGCGGCCCTTGAGGGAAAAATTGGTACGTGAGGTACGTAAGACGGGAAATGGTGCTTCCCAAACTAGAGAACAGAACTGGATGTCGATCGGTTAGGCCAGTTGTTCGCGTCACTCAAAAGGTAGTGATGCCTTACTCCAAGACAGGCAGGTTTTGCAGAGAAATATTAGCTGTGCAATGCTTGATGCACGACTATGGGCTGGAACACTCATGATGATAGCGCAAACCCCGTAGATCCATGCGAGCGTACCTAAGTGATGCAGGACATAAACTAGTTTGATGTTGTCACTGTAGATTAGGTCGAACAGGCTCAGTGCCGCGAAAGACGCTATTGCTCCAGCCGCCATTTCCGCAAGTGTCAAACAAGGGATCGGGCCTGGATCTAACCAGGTGTGGTTTCGCAGTTGGATGAAATAGAGAGGAGTTGCTAGGAGGCAAAAAGCAGTGACTTTCATGACTATGCCCACGTGCAGAACGCCCACGCGTCGCTGCTCGTCCCGCGCCAGCGCCAGATATTTAGGTCCATAGATGGTCCTAAGCCGGGAAGAACAGAAGACATAGTGATTTAGAAAGCCGCAGATGACTGTGAAGGTGAGAATGCCCTGAGCCGGTGTGAAAGTGGCTAGCTTTATAAACAATGCGCACTCGTTGTAGTCCGGGTAATCACGACAACCAGCCGCGTATAATGGTTCCATGGTGGCCAGGCACTGTCCAATCTTGTTAAAGACCAGTGTGTCGGATCACGGCGGAAATACTACTGACTTAAAGTGCATTGGCGATACTGCAGCATCTTTTCCTGATTTCGGTGACTAAGGAGCGCTGTCATCGTCACGGAATGCACTCACGGCCGTCTTCCGAGGAACTAAGGGCCGTCATTCCTGCCATCCCTTGTCACGCTAAGGATGATAACAACAACAACAATAACAATGGGAATAAACAAATCTTAAACAAAGCTTAAACGAAGCTAATAGAAGAGGCCTGCTGTGGCCGACATTGAGCTTCATCCTTAATTCGCTGAGGAACCAGCATCATGGGAACCACCCTTGCAGACCCAGACGCAAGGTCGTCCCCTCGTGCCAATCCCTCACCCTGTCGATTGCCATTGACGCTGCTGGGTCTGTCTATACTGATGATGACTGTGATCCTAAATGTTACTGCTATAACATCTGCATTACCCGTACGTCCTCATACCTTGCTTGAGGACATGAAGCTCACCCTATTAGACGATCGCTTTCGATCTCCATATCGATTCAGTCCAGGCCTTTTGGGTTGGGACCTCGTCGCTTATCTGCTCAACAGGTCAGTAAAATCTCTGAAATTGTTGAGCAATTGTGCCAATCTGCGCTGGAGGTCCTAACACTCAACTCAGCGTTCCAGCCGGTCTATGGCTCACTCTCGAGCATCTTTGGGCGAAAGCCAGCCCTGATGCTGGGAATCACCTTTCTCACCACAGGAACCATCATCTGTAGTCGGTCTTCAAATGCGACCACTTTACTAACCGGTCGGACCATACAAGGGCTCGGTGCTGGTGGAGTCACGAATTTGTCGGAAGTCATCTTAACCGACCTGGTGCCCTTACGGCTTCGCGGGCGATACTTGGCCATTCTCAATTCAACCTGGGCGATCGGCTCGACATCGGGCCCAGTCATTGGCGCTGCCTTTGCGCAAAAGGTGGCCTGGGTATGTGCTCCCCTTTTGGGTTCGATCGGCATCCCGGCTAACACGAAGTCAGCGATGGATATTCTACATGCATCTACCCTTACTTGCACTAGGTTCTGGTCTTATCTTAGTTTTCACGCGTTTCCCATCGTCGAATCATTCTCCCTTCGGGAAGCGAGGGAACATAGACTACGGCGGCATTCTCCTCTTCACAGGGGGCATCACCTGCGTTCTTATTCCCGTCACCTGGGGCGGTGTTATGTATTCCTGGGCATCCTGGCATACTCTAACTCCACTGCTGGTCGGAGCAGTCACACTGCTGTCCTTTGTCGCATACGAGGCATATGTTGCCGTGAACCCGATGATCCCACTAACTATATTCCACACCCGATCACTCCTAGTCAGTTACATCGGCACAGCCACACATGGTCTTATCCTGTCTTGTGGCCTCTATTACCTTCCCTTCTACTTCCAGGGAGTTAAAGGCTATTCCCCGATTATATCGGGAGTTGCCTTGTTCCCCGTAACATTCACCGTTATACCGGGTGCCATGATGACCGGAATAGTAATCACTCGAACCGGCAAATATCGCCCGGTAATCTGGGTCGGATGGTTAACTGCGACCGTCGGCCTGGGCTGTACCTGTGTGGTGCATCTGGGTACGCACAATATCGTGTGGATTGTGTGTTGCATAGTCATTGGCGTTGGGATTGGCATGCTATTCTCGGCCTTGAATCTGGCAGTGTTGGCTGCTGCCGGCCCGCATGGTGAGCAAGCCACCGCTGCCACCATGTTCACGTTTTTCCGGGCGCTGGGTCAGACGCTTGGTGTTGCACTGGGTGGAACAATATTTGCGAACCGCGTCCGTGTCAATTTGTCCCAGATGCAGCCGGCACTGCCGAGCTCGGTGGATCATACAGTTGACCCTCTGAGTCTGATGCAGCTGATCGGTCAAGGACCGGAAGCCATTACATTGGAGCAGGTGCGTACCATCTATGTGGATAGTCTACGTATCGTGTGGGCATTCTGCTGCGCCGTCTGTGGTGTCGCGGGACTCCTGAGTCTTGCTATGCGGCATTACGCGCTAGCGCAACGCTATCCCACGCAGCAGCAGCGTCAGGGATCCAGGGCTGAAGAGTTCAGCGAGTCAAGGCAGGAACTGGTGGCTATGACTCTTTTGGAGTCGGTCAAGGAACGGCCCTCGGTTGTATCTTTCCATGGATCAGAGCACTCGGTGGCTTAGGCTTGCTTCCGGTGAACAGTACCAATAAATATATATATATATATATGAGGCAGAAAATTAAACAGTACAGTACATACATGATAACTCTCCAGAACATGTTTTTCAGCAGATAAATAGTCCCCAGCCAAGCTGTCATGTGATATATAAGATGCCGGCGGGTTCCTTAGGCTAAACATTACCCCGCCACATCCTTCTCGATTTCCCCTCGTTCAATTCTGCCTACTGCTTTTCTTCCTTTCTTCCTCTTGCATACGTCGCCACAATCCATCGCCAATAAAATTGCTCGTCCAGCATAATCATGCCTGTCTTCCACGTCGGTGCGTCTCCATCCCGTCATTCACCCAATATCATTGTACAAAACAATAACATGTCGCCTAGTCCTCTTCCGCTTAAAGCCAGGTGTTGCACCTGCTGAGCTCGAGGCTTGGGCCCGCTTGGGTAAAGGCATGGTTGGCAAGATTCCAGGTCAGTACTTACCCGGGCGAATGTGATGATTACTAGCAAACTCATATGTGACATCTGTCCAGGACTGCTGGAATTCCATGCCAACCCACCGGTGGCGATGACCGCCTCCCGCGCAAAGGGCTACAATATGGGCTTGGTGGCTATCCTGGAGAAGCCGTCCGATTTGCAGGTTTATGCAACTCATCCAGCTCACCTTGAGTAAGTCTACCTAGAACTGTGGAGACCTCAGTAGGGAAGTTGGTAGTAGCTAATGGTCTATCAGATTGCACGAAATGCGCGAGCAATTATGTGAGGATACGTTGGCGTACGATTTGGAGTACTAGACGTATCTCGTGGGTTTTGCTCAATGAGTCGGTGTGTTCTGAGTGTTCTGCACGCCGAGGCTATTGTTGGGACTGTCATGGACTGATGGCCATGACCAAGCTTATCAACATCTTTTGCTTACCTACTAGCATGAAGTCTAGTGTTCTGCACATTTTATGTGTATACTTTATTTTTCTCGGAATCCGCTTGGATACATCACGCTTCTGGGACGTAGGGACGGATGCGGTTATGGGGTGAACAATACCGCAGGAAGCTGGCATAGAATTTCTCCATATGTCCTAGAAGGTCCACGTCCTCCATACAACTGTGTCCACAATAGCTAGAATACGCGTCTTCAATGGTGCGATTCCTGTATGCTTGCGCTCCTAGTGCGGATATAACAACCCGAAAGATCCGGGGGTAAATGGCACACCTCAACCCCCAAAGCTGGCCAGATAAAGAGGATCATCGGGCCTGTATCAATCCGACAGTAAACTGCCAAGGCTACGGGGGCGCAGCTGCTGGTTCAAAGCAAACGGTAGAACCTCGGGACTGTCGATCGGGAAAAGTACGAGCCCGACCCTTGATATGATCCTAGATATATCTCATTAATTGGTATCATATAGGTTTCCCTTCTGTCAGTATCTCATTTTTACTGCCAAATAAGTGCCTGTGTCTTGTTGAGTAGCCGTAACTGTGACCACCCCATTACTGCCCCGCCAAGTATCCTGTCCTCTTGTTTCGATAAACCTGTGAAACAATATTGGTTTTCACAGAAATGGTTGCTTACCATACGTATGCAAGGATGGCGCCAAAATCCGCCTGGACAGCTGGACGTGGGATGGGCTACGTCCGGGGGCGTGGGGGCACCAGGCTGGGGTGGAATCTGGGGTTAGTGCGGAGAGTCGGACTTGGGCCGAGTTCTCCAGTTGCTACTGCATCAGATCCCCATTGGAGTGCCGGATGGGTACACCTCAGCTATTGGCTGTTAAGCTTTGATCGACGCGGTAAGCCTGGGCAGACCATTTGATGGCTGTAGGCTTACTCCTTGCCCATGACGAAACACAATGCGGGGAAACTCATGCTCCCTACCATCGATGCAGTATAAATACAGGATCACTGCATGGCAGTAGAGTTTGTTCATAGGACCAAGAATGTTGTCCCTACGAGGAAAGCCCCTGGTCTATCTGGTCACCGTCGTCAGCTCGACCGGCTTCTGCCTGTTCGGCTACGACAATGGCTTGATGGGCCAGGTCATCTCAGAGCCTAACTTTCTCAACATGATTGGAAATCCAGATGCAGCTGTGCAGGGGCTTGCGGTATCGTCCTATGACATCGGCTGCATGCTAGGGGCATTGGCTGCCGTGCTTATCAGTGAGCAAATTGGGAGGAGACGGACGATCTTGCTAGCTTGCATTGTGCACATTGTGGGAGACGTCGTGAACGCCTCTTCCTTCTCCCTCGCCCAACTGTTAGTGTCGCGTATTATCCTTGGGGTTGGTCTCGGGCTCTTCACTAGCGCTTCCCCAGTCTGGCTAGCTGAGACCGCTACGGCCCAGATGCGTGCTGTCATGGTGGCCGTGCAGCTGACCTTCCTTATTATCGGCACGAACATTGCCTACTGGGTCGACTATGGACTTGGCTTCCTTGACAATGAGATCAGTTGGCGCGTGCCCTTCGCCTTGCAGGCCATCTACCCCATCGTCGCCTTTGGCTTCACCTTGGTGCTTCCCGAGTCCCCTCGATGGCTTGCTTCCCACGGCCATACTGAGGCTGCCGCCGCTGCTCTATCTGCATTCCGTGATCTCCCCGTGGACCACGAGTTAGTCCAAGCTGAACTGCAGGATATTGCTTCGGCAATTGCCCTGGAATCAGACGGCGGATCATGGGGGAGCTTGTTCCGCCAAGGTCCTAGTAAGGTGCGTACGCGTGTTATTATCGCCTGCGCGGCCAACTCGATGCAATCCTACACCGGGATCAATTTTGTGGAGTATTACTTCCCTTTCATATTGACGAACTCGGTCGGACTCGGTACCAATCTCGCGAACCTTGTGTCGGGCTGCTCACAGATCTGGTTCCTCCTATCATCCTTTGTGACGTGGTACTACATCAACAAGCTGGGCCGCCGCCGACTGTTCTGTTTAGGAAATCTCGGGATGGGGTGCTGCATGATTGCGGTTTGCATTACTCTGTGGAGAGACAACCAAGTGTCGGTCATCATCACCGTCGTCTTTTTCTTCCTTTACCTCTCTTTCTTCACTTGGGGATGGATGTCCAACATGTGGACATACCCTGCCGAGATCCTGCCACTGCATGTGCGGAGCAAAGCGCTGGCACTGTCCGTCTTCTTCCAGTGGGCCAATCAGTTTTGGACAGTGGAGATTGCGCCCGTCACGATCGACAACATCGGCTGGCGGACGTATATTATTTGGGCTATTCTCAACTTTGTTTGCTGTGTGATTGTGTATTTGTTTTTTCCGGAAACATCGTCCCTCACGCTCGAGTCAGTCGATTTTCTATTTTCGTCATCCAGCAACGTCCGCGAAGTGGTTGCACGCAGCGAACAGATCTTTTTGAATCATTCTCATCTCGATGTCGGAGCAGCGGCCGCGGCAGCAGTGGGCGGGGATAGCAAGGAGAAGGCTTTGGAAGACGGGGTTGCACAAGTGACGCACGTCGAGAGACACGTAGCGGTGTAGAGTGTGTAATCCACAGTTCAAGAACTGAAGCTGATTTATGCGAGATCCGAAAGCAGAAAGGATATTCTCGGGAGTATGTATCGATCACATTATGTACTGGAAATTGCCATTTGCCATGTCTTTATGCTGTTGGAACTCGGATGAGTATTGGATGACCGGACGGATTCTGAAGTACAAGACACTGGTAGCTCGGGGTAGCAGGTCCTGTTGAGGATGAGCATGAAGACCGGTTTTCAGTTTACTGAGGTTTTTGGCCTAGTGGTATTTTAACAGGCCCTTCTTACGGGGAAAGACAGCCATAGCGACCGTGGGGACCACCCGCATAAACCAAAAGAGTCAGCAGAATTCTTTGCGTTCTGTTATCTCGGCCGGTCTATGTCGTTTGGTGCGTAGAAATGTTGGGACCGCAATTGTGGCAAATCTTGCATGGTTCCCTGAGATGGTCTGGAACAGGGGGCGGATGTCTCTGCCTGGACCAAGTTAATCCTATCCAATGTTCCCCTGTCCATCCGTTGATCGCGGACTGGATTGTTGTCGCCTTTCCTCGGTCCTGTCGCGGTCCCTCTTCCGACTTTTGGAGACCAGGATGAAAAGGCTGGAGTTATTACTCATCCTCTACTCTCGACGATGAGATCATAATAAAAGCTTTGATTGTGAGCTCAACTTGGCGCCTAATTCATAGTTCCATATGTTTGTTTCCCACTGCCTCTCCTAAAATAGCGATGATGCCTGAGATTTCAATGCCCATACACGTCATGATGACCTCAAAGTGCAGTGGATCCCCCGGCTTGGCCATAAAGCTTGGCACCCAGGGCCACGATGCTTAGCCGGAGAGATTTACCCAGCCTTATGATCCTACCGTATTCTAGAAGGTTTTCTACTTGAATGTTACCTTCTTATTACCCTCAACCATGGCACCCGTACGGTCTGTTTTGTCTTCCTTTCCTTCTCCATCCGTCGACATGCCCGCTGATGACCACCCCAGATTTCGCCATGAACCCAGCTGGTCCTATCACCAAGGTGTAGCCGGTTCGATGCTCAAAGCTTTCCTCCGTACCTTTACTGCCCTACACATGAAATGGCCGCTATCCCTCAAGCCACACCACGAGTCGGATCGATTCGTGCTGATTAACCCTGCCACCCGGGAGTGTTACACCGGAGTGATGGTGGATGAGGCCGTCAAACCCGAGACCATCGGTGCCACCTGGTATCCAGAGCCCTTTACTCGCGGCACCTCTCTTCCGGATGGCGAATATGTTATCTTGCACCTCCACGGTGGTTCTTACATTCTGGGTGACGGTCGCTCCTCCTCCTGTAACTTTATGGCTCAGACCCTCCTCGAACAGACTCCCGCCAGCTACATGCTCTGCCCCCAGTATCGACTCGCCTGCAACCACAACGGACGGTTTCCGGCTCAACTGCAGGACGCACTCGCAGCATACGTGTATCTCATTCACATCCTCCAGATTTCGCCCTCTCAAATCGTACTCAGCGGCGATAGCTCCGGCGGTCACCTCGTCCTGGCGCTTCTCC